CTAATTTGGAAAAGTGGGATCAGCAATGTAGAAGGTTTTGTCTCTAAAATGTTCACAAACATTAATTGAAACATATTTATTATTACGAAGTGACATAAAACAAAACAAATACACACATGGAACAAGCATTTAATGTTTTGAGATTTCACAAGACATATTATTTTAAGATTATAATTTTATAGGGATCTAATGATTCTTAGTCGTTACAATGAGAGAGTATTGAAGATTGTTTGACGGAAGTATACGCAATTGAAAGGTTACTTTTTAGAGCAGTGTATCTTTCCTGAAATATTACACCTGTTTTCTTCTAAAAGCGGAATCAGTAATCTGAGAAGTGGCATATGATACTTCAACAGTTCAAAGGATTGTTTTACAGGGTTCATTTCCGAATGCAAAGGTAATTTTTCTTTTATCAATGAACTGTTTCCAGTCGCGATTGACATTAATTACTGGTTAGTCCTACCCCCTTTCATTGTTGAAAAACGAAGAAACTCTCTTTGACCTAAGTGCTTCGAATGCAATATGCAATGTCTCAGTTTTTCGTTTGCGGGATAACCCCGTTCTTCTTTGTTAGAAAATAAGTTTTAAATCTTTGAAAGTAAATAACATCGAATACATTTGAACAAGTTTCCAATAGTGAAAACAAATCTTGAAAAATGTATAACAGTATTAGATAAAGGCACTTACATTGATGTAAGTGCATAAAGTGAAAAGAATAAAATAAGTAAACACCAGGTTTTTCTTCTTGATATTACTAGATGATGATACTAGCGATACATTGTAATACATTCATTGTAATTAATACATGTATTGAACAAAGTCCATTGTATATGTTTTTGCACTTCAAAACCCTCCTCGCTTTTCCTACTCGCATTCCATTCATTTATCAATCTTTAACCATTAATAATCATCTTCAGCTCTCTCTCAATACTTTCACAAATCAAAGCATGGGCAAACTCTGTTGCCTTTGTTCTATGGAGCAAGTACTCATTTACCTGAAGAGTTGATATGAACTTCCCGTGCTCGTTCACTAAGTCAATATAATGTGTCATTTGTCTGATTTTCTATGATTAATAAAATGAAGTCAATGTCTATTGCATCATTTATAACTGTAACAAACGTAAATTATTTATTACAAATTTTAAAAAAAACTACGTGTCACACTTTTTGTGGAAATGCTTTTGTTGCCCGAATTTTCTGCCTTTCTATTCAAATGTTAGGATTACTATGATGGAGTCTTAGAATGGTTGTTATTTTCGTTATATGCAACACAAGGTAAGTTGTAAAGTGATTAAGAGGTTTCAGAGTGTTGTACTTTTGGCTTGCTGAGTGTTTGCAAGGTGTCATGCAGAAATGCTGGCGAAAGCTTTTTAATAACACATTGAAATAATAAATACAAACGAATACGTAAGTTTGCCTTTCATATTTAGGTTTTGTACTTTCGTATAAGTAGAAGTACAAATAAGGTGAAGTGGAGGTTCACATGCAGAACTAAACTCTTTAAATTTAGTACTCGTATGCTGCGCGTTTGTAAACCAAAGCGGAAGCTGGAGGTTCGAGGTTCCTCATCTAGAGTAAGGCGAAGGGTTTTCTTGATGCATTGTATCAATCGAGAAGAGACCGTGTCAAAAGTTGCGAACGTCGTTGTATCAAAATGCGCAAATTATAAAATGTTGTCTTATGGTGGAAATTTTGACAAAGAAATTGTATTTTGTGGGTTAAAATACATCACATGAGTCTTATCCCACATTAACATATCATTTAATCACATCGAATGGGAATGGAACGTTAGGATTGAGAAACGGATTCGTAGTAAGTATACTTAATTTTCCCCGTTTATGTTTGTTATTAATAAATAACGTTTAATAAAAAAATCACAAAATGCACACATTAAATGAATCAAAGTTCTCCTCAGTAACTAGATTATCGCTTAGAGAAAATACATTACCATTCGTTATCTACAGAACATTATACAATTTACAATATCTCAATGGGTAATTTAAATTTTCAAAATTATTCAGTCAGTATACTCAGATGCACACATTCCAAATAATCTGTTAAATCCTTTTTTGCCGGTTTGTATAAATAAGGCTTCTTAAATAATGCCATCACTGCTGAAGAAAATTATGGTATCCTTTTTATTTCCCGTATACACTTTTTACGAGAGAGACTGTGAGGATCATCATGGAGACTTGACGAGGATCCGCACTCATCAGGTGGTGGGAGACTTATTCACTAACCTCACAAACCCTATTCAATCAACATAGTTCCAGCCCGGAACCACGTTTGCATTACGTCAGGGTGGTGTTGATTCTTTTCAGCTTTTCTAACTTCCCTCTGTTTGTCCATGTTTGTAACTAGCAGGCGAGTTTAGCTCAAGGGAAACTCATCGCCATCTTCTTTCTTCTTTCTCAGGATTATCTTAATGTACTCTGGCATTGTGTTCCATGCATCTTATTGCTTTTCAACATTAAGGGAATAATTAGTCCGTAGTTATCTTATCAGATCTGCATTTTATTTCCAGGCATATTCTTATCTTCTTCCCATCTCTCTCAGGAAAAAATGGCTTACGGGCGTCATCTGGTTTTTCGCAGTAAGTGCATGTGGGACTTAACTTTTCCATTGTGTAGAGATATTTCCGGAAGCATCCGTGACCACTGAGGAACTGCGTGAAGTAATACTTGACGTGCGTACGGCAATGCTACATACGATAAACATTGGACAAAAATGTGGAAGAATGGTTAAAAATCGTAAAATAAAATTTACATTCCTAAAAATAAATATTTTAAGTGGAGTTGAATAAACGGAATTATATTAACTCTATTTATTTACATGAACAATTAAAAAACAGAACAAGAAACTACATTATTAAATTTGAATTACTATTCCCACCGGTTTAAGGCCTTTTTATTTTTATGTGAACTAAAACATTGCTCTCCCTTTTAGTTAATTATGTCCATGCATTGACTTGTTTCCTTCTCGGATGTTTGCAGCCCACATTTATGACGCAAACTTTTCTTCGCAAACTTTAGCGTTCAATTACACTTGTTGAAATTCCCGCCTCACTTCATGTGGCAAAATATCGTTCTCTTACTCAACTCTTATTACTGCATAACATTATTTCATTTTGAAACACAGCCAAGAAAAGTCCTCTCTCGAACTTTTATTATAATCCTCTTTTTATTCAAAGCTTCCTGTTTCTCCATTTTCCTTCTCCCCGATCAATATCGAAGAAGTTTACACATACATGTAATTTGATACATTACAATACAGTTTCCAGAAATTTCCAGGATCTAGCAATCAACAGTACTTTTTAATAACATTAGTGGAATTTCCTCCACATACTTCAATGTCAACAGGAAACAGATTACTGTGGGTCTCTACTGGATGCGCGCCATGGTCTAAAATGTACCACAATTTTATTATCTGGACGAAGTTAGACATGAAACGTAGTGCATACGCAGATACAAAATTACATTTTTCATTGTAATACTAGTTAATCCACATTGTCGAAAACTACTTGAAAGTCGGAAAATGTTAAATGTAGCTCGTGTGTCACTATTTCGCAGCTTGTTTTACTGCAAGAAAAGCTATGGATTAAAATTATCTTACTGCTGAAGACAATTGACGGAATATCTTCTGTATCAAACAGCTTCGCCTTTCAATGAGGAATTTGCACGTGTGGGTTTTCGACTGTTTCGACTGTCAAACTCACGTCGCTCTGCTTGTGAAATATGTCAAGTAGGTCACTCTCCCAAAGTAGCAATGACTGCCCAAAATATAAACACGCTCTTAAATCTCATTGTGTCAACTTTGACGGTCAAATTACATTACAAAAGGCCATATTAAGATGTTATGGAGGGGGTATAGTTCAGCCTAGATTTGCCATTTATCCCTCTGTACACCGTCTGCAGACCTTCCGAACAGTAATGTGAAGGAGTGTGGGGGTAGTATAGTAGAGCTAATATGGAGGAGGGTGAAGTAGGGAGAAGAACGGAGGACAGTACAGTGGTGACAGTATAGTATTTTCCTGAGCCATCTTAACTGGTTCAATGTTTACGAATGTATTATGCCTTCATCAGAATCTAGGGGAATAGTTACAGCAATTGTGTTGTAATTAATTAATACAGTTAAAATTTTTGCTTTAACTCTGATTCTGTTATATTTGATGATATCCAACTTGATATTCTACTGACGTAACGCTCGTCTCAACTGACGTAACGGATTTTGGGAGAAATATGGACAGTAAAAAATATTTTTGCGATAATTAATTTGAAACGGTTAAAAATTCAGACACTTGTTATTTTTATGCTCTTAGAGTGTTTACGCCAGCTGATTTTGGTGCCTTGTGGTTTGAAAAAATATGAACTGTAAGTTAGTGGAGTTTGCGGCATTTGATTTGCCGTTATTCTAGGAAAAGTTGAATTCTTTGAGTTGTAATTAATTAGAAATAAACCAGTTTGCCTTTTGACACACATTTAATTTGTATGTGTAATGATGGCTAGACCAGCCTGATGGATAGGTTTAAATGTGCATAAGTGAACTGTGGAATTCACTTAATAACAATGACCTCTGTTAATTTCGTGCATTTGTGCGAAGTGTGTTTCTGTGAAGACATAGGTTATACATTTCTTCAAGAACAGAGTATTTTGTGTAAAGAGTGAAAATATTTACTTACATAAAATAAGTGTATATTTTTATACATTATACGAGATATTATACTATTGAATTTAGTTTTATACTTGTATGTGAATTTTACTTTGGTGGAATGCTTTGGAAGTTACAGGTTGAGCAGACCAAGGTTCTTTTACTTTAATCGTATAGAGCGAAGGCCGAACCCTCGTCACCAGTTTGAACACGCATGTCAACTGGCCCGTGAATGTACGTTATGTAAGAAACAATTTCGTGCGGGGATTCGCATTGTCTTTCTCCATTTTTGCAGTAGTCTATTCCTTCGCGTTTGGCACGATAAAGGATAAGAGGCCATCGAAGAAACAAACCCGAGAATTGACAGGAGTACAGAACTTTGAGGCAGAAACCATTTGCAATGCTGAACCGTTAAAGGGAAACAAACTTATAAATTCCATTGGGAATCTTCTATTTCACGCGAATTGATTTAGAAAACACTTTTAGTTCAGTGTTCTGTGTCCTTGAAAAGTCGACTCCAATTTGAAGCGGAGCCTATCGTGCGAGTGTGTTTATGGCATTCTCTTCCAACGACTCAGTGCCAGTGCTGATAAGAGTGTCTGCAGTGAAACAACGAAAACAGAAGCAGAGCGATGTCGCTGAACGTTCCGTTCGTGAAGTTAAATAATGGGCAGCAGTTCCCCATCTTCGGCCTTGGCACATGGAAAGTGAGTAAACATTTCTACTTAAGATTTCTAACTGATATACACACACGAACTAATGACAGCACAACCACTCACCGGCTCTTTGCATTTTATTTCCTATTGCCATTATATTTTCATTTTATTATTTTCCTTCAGTCTAAGCCCGGCGAAGTGACGCAGGCTGTGAAGGACGCGATCGACGCCGGGTACCGGCACATCGACTGCGCGCACGTGTACGGCAACGAGGCGGAAGTGGGAGCCGGCATTAAGGCCAAAATTGACGAAGGCGTGGTGAAACGCGAACATCTCTACATTACAAGCAAGGTGAGCCAGCATATGCAAAACGGCGTTTTATATATACAAGGGAAAAAAACAAAAATTGAGAAGAAAATAATATAATTATGATAATTGCTGTTCCAATGCTCTCTATACATTTCTATACTACAAAAAGCAAAGGAATGCAATTCAGTTATGAAGTTCTATGCAAACAAAACCGCAATGTAATACTCTCCAATCAAGAAACATTCGAAGTAAGTACAAATTTCCATGGACGAGTGCTGAGAAATATTTGTGAATTTTTCAGTTATGGAATACTTTTCATCGTCCCGATCTTGTAGAACCAGCGATCAGGACGTCTTTGAGAGATCTCGGATTGGTACAACTGGATTTATATTTAATACACTTCCCGCATGGCTTTCAGGTATATGCGTATATTTTTGCGTAATATACTTCTGTTAATTAGTATAATTTCTCCATAGACAATTGGGTCAGGATAAGAAACATATGAAATTTATTTCTCCAGGAAGGTGAAAGTCTGTTCCCAGAAAAAGATGGGAAAACTCTTTACAGTGATGTGGACTATGTTGACACCTGGAAGGCCATGGAACAATTAGTGAAGAAGGGGCTCACCAAGTCCATAGGCGTCTCCAACTTCAACCACAAACAAATCAACCGTGTTCTAGAAGTTGCAGAGATCAAACCTGTCACGAACCAGGTACAATCTAAGTAGTAGTTATTTGTTTGTTCTTAAATTGTTGGGCCTTTTTTCTAACTGCATCTCTCAGCCATCTTTTGAGCATTTAGCAAATTCATTGAAATTAGACTTCAATTTCTTTCATGGATTAATACCACCACCACCCCTATCACTTCCACTATACTGATCTAGGCGAAATAAAATAAATATCAGTCGACAGGGATATTTGTATTTTATTAATAATAATAATAATAATAATAATAATAATAATAATAATAATAAAATACAAATATCCCTGTCGACTGATATTTATTTTATTTCGCCTAGATCAACTTAATTTTACTCCCAACAATACTTTCTGCTGTGGGTTCGCCTTTACACATTCTCAGGACTACATTGACTGCATAATCTTAAAATTTAACTGACAATCTTTGCCTTGATACATGAAAGAAGGAAAGTTTCTATGAACGGTATGTAATTAGCGTTCACGCTTTCCTTTTGCATAATTATGTTCAGATCACTGCAGCCGTGAGCTGGGTACTTCGAGACCAGTTCTTCCTTTTTGGCTGCAACTCCTAAAAACACATATTATTCGCTTGTTCTCATATTACAAAATTATGTTCCAGTTACATTGTCACGCACGAATAATACCATCGATTGATATTTCGAAGTACATTCTCATTGTGCGCTTTAACTTCTTTTAATACATATTATCGCCTGCCTGCTCATAAACTATTCTTATTCAAGCCAACGGTCTCCACACCGCGTTACGCGCTCGCGGTTTGATATCCGTCTGATAGTTTTTTCTCCTCAATAATACTTTTTTTACGGAATCGTTTGTCTCCATTTTCTATAGCATTTCATTCTATACTGTCTCATCACTATTGCATCGCATAAATTTATTTTTTATAATTTTTTAAATGTTTCAATTTTAAAGATTATTTTGATGCCGCAGTTAACTACCACTATTATAAATGTTTTCGAAATATAATGAACTTTATATAATCGTCACCGTTTCTCCCAATTTTCCAAAAACTAGACGAATTTAATCTTCTTATTTTGTAATTATTTTAAAACTACATATAAAATGTAAATTGAGATGACTGAATCATCATTAAATTTTGGATTTGTTTATAAAAAACATACACAAACAAATATAGAGAACCAATACACACCATACGAAGACACAGTATCAGAAAGCATCTACACGATACCTAAGAACCTCCGTGGTGTCTCAAACTTCAAACGTCATTGAGCCGTAGTGAAGCAATTCACTAACGACCCCAGAAGATTTGAAAAAATCGGAAAGACTTCGAAAATGTAGACAATACGTCTGTTGGGTCCAATACCTTATATTTCAATGAATGAGCAAAGTGGAATATATACAGTTTCTACCATAAAAGTGTTATGTATGGTAAAACTGTGTAAAGTGAACAAAATTTGTTATACTCTTTACATGATGAGATTGAAGAATTCTGAAAAAAACTTCTGCTATGTTTATGTAAAATTCTCCCAAATGCCGCTAACATTATTTGTTTAAAATGGATCGGTTTCCAAACCAAAACATTATGAATTATTGCCTTTTACCCCTCTCTTGTAGTAAGGTGGATCACACACCAACACACGCACACCACACACACGCACATACACACGCACGCACAGCAACACGCCAAACACCTATTAACATTAACATTAACATTTAACAAATTCCTACAATTTCATGAAAACTATTTTTTTTTAATATTACAAGCTACAATTATTGTGAAACTATTTAGAGGAACTACTATTTTATTAAAGATAATATAACTGAACCTCAACATCAAGAACTTTAACACTTATAATTAGCATATACATTACGTACTAAGTTTCCACGTTACCAAGTTAAATATCAGCGATACATATAACCATCTTAAATCCTTCAACCTTTACATTGAATACAATATTTTAGCGCAAAATAGAGTGCATATTGTGACTATGTCGCCACCATAAAAATATAATAAAATTTGGAAAAACAATGAAATATTGTGAACCCGAATTAGCCACAGGAGGTCTTGGTAGGAATCAGTAATGAGACCACAGTAAAAAAAGTCACTCAGATTTTCAAATAAATTGGGATTATAGATTCCTCAATTCAAAAAATTAACATACGCTTCGTTAGAACCCTTACACCAAAAATCCATTTCGATAATCAATAATTACTCTTGCCAAATAATATACTTGCTTGAGTACGTCACCAAAAATGTTTTCAGCTCTGGTATAATTCCTTTACCATTTGGCTAGTAATTCTACTGTTGGCCGTCCTAATGCGATCAATATGATAATTATAGGCATTTGTAACACAATCACACTGTATTCATTTAAAACGTACACTCTAAGCATTGCATTACACTTCAGCACAAATTAACAGTTATAACTCTTTCACAATTATTACACATTAATTACATAAGTTCCCTTCCAAATAAAAAATTCTTATTGCAATATTAATTTTTTTTCCTTTAAGATGGCCACCGGTCGTCATAATCGTTTGTTAATTTATTCTCCCAGTTACCCAACCTAGTTAGCAAGAATTGACAATTACATTCTATTTTGTGTTCGGTATTCTCAGAAATTGTTTCAATTTCCGAAAGTAACACTTCCCTAGTTTTTACTCGACGCACAGATAAACAATTGAGAAATTAGCTTAAACCTTCTGCTGAGTCGGCTGTCCGCCCCTCTCCTCCCACAAAACGTCTAATCACTCGCAGCAACGCCATCGCGCCAGCAATTAGCGCCACTGCTGGCTTCCAAACGGACAAGGTCGGCGGCCGTTCTACGCCGTCAAAAGCCCTCTGTGTAGCACTCTCCCACGACGCAGCTCCAATTGAAATGATTATTAGTGATCCGCGCACGACAACTAACCAGCTGTCATTGAGTCCCATAAGGTAATGCATATGATTTCTCGGCACGGTGGCGGTGATTTCCCCCGCTGTATACGAGATACCGTCGGCCTAGTGGGCTCTCCACTACCAGTTATCTCTCGCCAGCCGGGCAACCGCCCACTGCGAACAACTTTTATATCCTGATGGCGCTCCCGGCACGTATATAGTATAGATGCATGTTAGTATAATGTGTGTGGTGTGTTAAGGGCGGGTGAGAATAGGACAAGGAAAGAGGCCAAGATCGCCAGTCTTGCCCGTCTGTTAGGGTGCTGCCCCGCATACCGCCTGGAGATCGAAGAAACCACAGAAAACTACGATCGAGCAGCCGCAGGCGCAAATGTCTCCTCCAGACAGGCGACTGAACCATCTAAACAAGCTAGTGTCGAAACTCATTGCCACTGTCGGACTCTACCCCCATACGACTTCCCATCAGAGGGATTGCATGACCAGTTGATGCCCTGAAGCCATCTAATTCCCGGGCGCAGCTTCGAATCTTCCTTCGTGCTGCCCCAGCGCCCCCTGTTCCCTTGATACACCAGATCTTTCTGCGAAATGTGCACCCGCTTCAAACGCTTTCTCTCATGAATTTGGCAGTTCGTATTTTGCACTAGCAACAGTTCAGTGCTTTATTCAACGAACTAGTTCGTTCACTGGAGTGCCTCTCGTTTTCTAACATTTTCTTTCGCCAAATACAAGGCAGCAAAACGCCATTCTAACAGATATGCTAGCACTAGATTAAAAAGTCTCTGCCACGCAAGACCTTGCTCGATTCTCACCCCGTTCTTTCTAATTCTACGCTGAATAACTTTAAACGTAGAAATCCTTTTGTAAATTTACCACCACGTGCAGTAAGTTCCTTTCGCTAAAGCAGTGTATGTTGTAGCCTACACATTAAAACACAATTTTAGACTTTTGCACATATTCGTAGCACTACGAGAAAAATACTTGTCAAAGCCTCACTCGTTTACCACGTATAACTACGATGCTGCTCTCCAGCAGTACACGCGTACGCCTCGTCAACCCGCGCAGATTTCAGAAGGCTGAATTCCCAGGCGCCTAATAACTCCCATATAACGTGGTGGGACCATACATGGCCCACTCTAGACGCATCACCTTCTTACACGAACTAAAATACGAACTGCTACAAACGTTATTTAAAACGCGCGTGTTCTCGGGACGCAAACACGCGCTTAACACAAAGAGATCCGCCCCGCTGTGCGCGCTACCTTTCTTTCATGCGTGTATTATTATGAATGAATGAATTTTAGAAGATAAACACATAGTATTTAACTTCTTTTGTAATTTATTTCGGAAATCGTTCATAATCAAAGTGTATTCGTATTTCTTGACCAATTTTTATGTGCGAAAGTTGGCGAGTTTTACCAGCAGCTGTATCCGGAGACACCAGCGCATCCTATAGTAGCAACCTCTAGCATTGTCCCCAATTGTGATGGAGAGTTGCAGGGCCCTGCTGAATTCCTCTCGTGCGCTGGTCAGGTCGGCCCACCTCCCCTACGGACCCCTTCGTGAGGAGGGAAGGCCTCCCCTATCTAGCCGGGCGGCCGACACCGGAGCTCCTGAACGCGCCTTGATTTGCGCGCCAACTTAAATCCTGTGCGCTCGCTGTCTCCTTAGGACCCACACATGTCAGTTACGTCTCAAAATCTCCCAAATTGCGTTACATAAAGTGCATTGCTTTTAGGACGTACTATTTTCACAAGAAACGCAAGAAACAGCAGTGACTTTACGAGTATGTCCCTCTGTGTTTCCTAAAAACAATACAAATTAGTGGTGCTACAGAATGGCACTATCCCGTATTAGTTTTCTATTGCCTTTGGCCTCGACTAGCTACTCAGACTTGCCATAAATTTTTACCAGCTGCCATCTATCTCTACCTAAAGTATATTTTTCTTTTACATTTTCTACAGCTTTCTTTCCCCAATTGTAGCACGGAAATATTATTTTAAGATTATTAAAGAACAGTAAAATCTCCTTCTAAATAGCACTTTTATTTGCAAAATTTAAAGCCGCTTTTAAGAAAAAGGTGCTTAAGCGCTGCTGTATATTCAACATTTGAAGCTCTTTTCCCCTGAAAATATTTTAGTTTTCGAAAAACTTCATTAAAAATAATTTTAAGTACATTAACTCACAAATACAATATTGTTTACAAATTGCTGGAAATGTGGATATCAACGACGTGAAAGATTTAAAAAAGGTTATATTTGTGTAATTTTTGAAAAAAATAGACCGATATGAATTCTATGTCATATCAAAGAGTTCAATTAGCACCATCTGTTCGAAACAATTTGGAACCGTTTTTGAGATAATTGCGTTTGAGCCTTTCCGGAAATGCGCAATTTTGAGCTAGTTTTCACAAAATACGGTTGGGTGTTCGAGAAATTTTATGTAGCATTATTTAAATCTCATGTACTCATAAATATAATAATGTAGGCAAATTGTAGCTAATGTAAATATTAACATGAGAGACTAGTCATATAAACTAAATTTTTGTAATTTAAAAAAAACAAAAGAATAAAGCAATGTGGCGTTTATGCCATCTTATAGAGAGCATTTAACACAATCCCTACCAAACGTTAAAAGAAAAAATTGGAGCCGTTTTTGAGAAAATATTGTTTTTTA